GGAGGGAGGGAGGGAGGGAGGGAGGGAGGGAAAGAAGGGGCAAGGACCAAATAAATTGGTAAAGTTGCAAAGAGGTGAAAGAATTTCACCCATAACCAAAGATAGATAAAAATGAAAATAGAACAAAATAGGCTTGTGCCTTTGCCGGCACAAGCGTTAAAGGGCCTGATGATGTTATCACAGCTCACTCACAGACTTAGGAAACAGGGACACAGTGAAAGGAGGGTGGGGACTGAGCGCATGACAACTGCTGAAAGGACCAAGGAAAATGCTTCAGTTGCACTGTCTTTTGTCCAACTGGTTCAAGGGATGCTCTGTGTGGCCTGCTGGGAATCACAGAGGTAGGGCATCTCCTACCCACGGCAGAGCAATGGGAAGTATGAAAGGAAACCATACAAGACACCGCAAGCATATAAAACGCTTACAATTTGAGTGCCAGAAAGAAGAGAGAGAATAGGCAACTCAGTCAGGGTGTGCGTAGCATGTGTGAGGCCCACATTCAATCCTCATCAACACGAGCCAGAAGGATAAACAGTAGAAAAAACAAAAGCTAAAGATCCCAAATATGATGAAACTTACTTAAGCCCTTAACACCCCCCAAAAAATGTTAAAGTCCCCAAGAGAAACATACACAAAGAAAAAAAAATCATACCAATACTGCCTTTAAAAAGGTCAAGACCGGTGGTGGCAGCACACATCTTTAACTCTAGTTCTTGGGAGACAGAGGCAGAGCGAGTTCTGAAAGTTCAAGCCCAGTCTGGTCTACAGAGAAAGTTCCAGGGCAGTAAAGGTTACACAGAGAAACCCTGTCTCAAAAAAATAAAAGCGGCGGGGGTGGGGGGCAGTTGTAGAGGCAGATATAATAAAGACACATTATACCTAAGAGGGAAAATATGTCCAAAGGATAAAAAATTTAAATTAATATACAAAACAATTATTTTTCTATGTTCTGCTGATATACTACAAAATAAATTTAAACTTAGCAGTACTTATAACAGGATCGATCAAACAATCTCAATTCAGGCTTGCATCTTAAAGAAATTATAAACTATGTCCACACAAAGATTTTTATAAAATGCTCATAGCAGGGTTATCACTCTACTGCAGCACAGACGACACAAAGATCCTTCAGCAGCACACAAATACTGAAATGCATCCCAAGAGAAAGACATATGAACAAATGAGCTTCTAATGTACAAGTTAACTAAACCAAAGGTATGGAATAATATACAGAGAAAAACTTTAGCACAGCTACTGAGGGACAGAGGAGGGAGCTCATGGTGACAGGAAAGGAGACACGAGGTAGGCTCTGGGGGCAAGAGGTTTTGTATCCTACTTCTTGAGCCTGTCCACACTGTTCATTTGAGAGTTGCATGTAAAGGACAAAAAAGAAAATAAGGCAGACGATATTTGGTTATTAGTTCAAGTATATAATTTGCTATGCATTTGAGATGAAAGATGAACTCTGAAAATCAGGAGTTCATTAAACAAATGCTTATTATCAATAAGATCTTCCTTGTTTTCATTAGATCCAAGTTATTCAGCAACTTAGACATTTATAAATGGTAACTGCAGGGGCTGCAAAGATGGTCAAGTGCTCATTGCACATGCAAGAGGGCCTGAGTTCAGAGCCCAGATGCTTGTGAAAAGCCCAGGGTGGTGATTTGTGTCTGTCACTTTGTACTGGGAGACAGAAATGGGGGTCCTAGAGCTGGTGACCAGTCAGCCTCATCAGTCAGTGAGAGAACCTGACTCAAAAAAGTAAGTGAAAATGGAAGAAACACCTGATGCCAATTTATGAGCTCTACATATTCACACAGAGGTACATACACATTCATACATGTAATGACCCCACACACACAGAGTGAGAGAGAAAGAGTGATCAACCAAACTATAGTAAGTTATGTGTACACTGCAGAGACCAAGTGCGATGACTGAGAAAGCTGGGGAGCAGAGGCCCTGGTGGACAGCATCACACGTCTGAAACATGATGTGCCAGCATAAGCTTTAATTGTGTTCATAATTTCCATGGAAGATTGTGTGGAAAATTGACAGCAATACTCTAGAGAATAAAATAAGGATTATTATAAGATGCACAGGGGCTGAGATTTGATTCCTAATGCAGTAAGATTGTGGCTAATAACATGCCTCTGCCACAGAGTATTTGATCACGTGTTTGAGGGATGGGAGAAGAAAAAGAAGGTAGAAAAGAAAGGGAAAGAATAGGAAGCAGGGGGCTAGCAGGATGCTTCAGTGGGTCAAGGTGCTGGTTGCCAAGCCTCACAACTTGAGTTTGATCGCTGGGACCTACAAGGTAAAAGAAAATCAACTCCACAGGCCTCCTCTGGCCTCCATGTGCATGCATTCCATACACCTTCACCCCCAACACACAGGGAGCGAGGGAGGGAGGGAGGGAAAGCTGGTTGGTAGTCAGTCTTAGAAAAAAGAGGAAAGAAAGCAGGTTTTAGGTTTTCCACACCCGTGGTGGTAATATTGCAGTGCAGACCAAATGAAACCCCTATCAATCTCAGATACCGTTCATACTTTTCACTTATTTATTCATTTATTTAGTGTCTGCAGAAGTTGATGTTAAAATTTGACATGAAAAATTAAGGAACCCTGAATAGCCAAAACAATCATGACGAAGAACCAAGTTCCAATGCTCACACTGAGCATTCTTAAGCCTCACCTTGAAGCCTGTGAGTGGGCTAGCACACAGATGCGGTAGCCGATGAAATCTAACTGGCAGTCTATGATTGAACCCGTACTTATGGTCAACTGATTTTTGACCAGAATGACAAGAATATTCCATGGGGCAAAATAGTCTTTTAAACAAGTGACTGGTATTACTGGACATCCGCAGGTAAAAGAAAGAAACTGGAACCCTTTCTTACTTCATACACAAAAGTTCTTAAAATAGTCTAGAGCTGAAACGACACAGCTCTTAGAAGAAAAAGGTAAGAACAGCACTGGAAATGTAGCTCAGTGGTAGAGCACTTGCCTAACATGTACAAAACTCTGAATTCAAGCTACAATAATGAAAGAAAAAAAATAAAGGGTGAGGAGTTTCGGTCATCAGGGCCTTGTTCTGGCAATGGACTAGAAACAGAGGGAAAAGAACAGATGAGTTAGATGTCATCACTGGACAAGGCAAGGTCTTGAATTCAAGGTCAGCCAGCTTGAGCTGCACAGTGAGATCCAGGTCAGAACACACAATAACAAGAATTGGTCTCCAAAACTCCAGACTAAACAAACATAAAACATTTGAAGCTTCTGAGCCAACAAGATGGCTCTGTGGGTAAAAGTGCTTGCTGCATATATGCCTGAGGTTCTGAACTGGATCCCCAGAACTCATGGAAAGAGAGAAGCAACTCCAGAGAGTTGTCTCTGATCTTCACACGTGCCACACACACACCACGCTCATACATACACAACACACACAATAAAATATAACAATAAAAATAAGAGCCGGAGAGAATCTCAGCAGGTAAAGGCATTTGGCCTCATGTCTGACCACCTCAGTTCCATTCCTGGACCCACATGGTGGAAGCAGAGGAATCTGAGACCCTCCTCTGGCCTCCATGGGCATTAGGCTTGCATGTGATGCCCAGACCTATGTGCAAGCAAAGCACCCATACACATAAAATTAAAAATTTAAAATATTTATAATTTTTTGCTTTAAATGGCACCATTAAGAAAGTGAAAGGGGCTGGAGGGACAGCCCTACAGTTAAGAACACTTATTCTTCTTGTAGAGGACTTAGGTTTGGTTCCCAGCACCCACACAGTGGCTCACACCATCTGTAACCCCAGGCCAGGGGATCTGACGCTCTCTTCTGACCTCTTCTACATGCAAGAATCAGGTATACACATGGCACACATACATACATACAGGCAATACATACAGTATTTGTATATATAAAATAAGTAAATTTTTAAAAAGTAAAAACACAAAGAATAGGATGGTGTTACCTACAATTCATAAGGGCCTTATATTTCCAATATATAAAGAATTCTTACACCTCAACAATCAAAAACAGAATTTTTAAGTGGACAAAGGATGTGAATAAGCATTTCCCCATAGAAGACAATCAATCAGTCAATAAGCAAATGCAAAAATATTTAACATAATTAGCCAGCCATCAAAGAAACACAAATTGAAGTCACAAGCTAGGACAGCTACAACAAAAGGAGAAAGTAGCAAGTGTTGGCAAGGATGTTGAGAAACTTGGAATATAAAAAGGCCATCCGGGAAAGTCTATCAGATGCAGCAGCTCTCCCACTTTATCCTCTAGAAAAGCACGAGTCCACCAGAAACTGGTAACCAAAGGCTAAAGGCAGAAGGATTCAGGAGTGCAACAAAGTAGAAAAGACTCAAATGCCATCGACTGATAAGTGGACACATATGCTCTGCCCAAACAATGGAACAGTACCTGTCAGGAAAAAGTTAATGGAGCACCAATGCAGAATACAACACGGACGGCTGTAAAACACTGAGGGAAGTGGAAGAAGCCAGCCACTAAGTCCGGGTCTCTGAAACACCGGGACTGAAAATCTATAGAGACAGTGACTGTCTAGTGCTGGAGAAGAGAAGCCGGTGAGGAGGAAGGAATGGGGAGTGAGTCCTGATAGCAGCCAGGCTTCCTGTGGGGGAAAGAGCTTTAAAACTGTACTAACTTTGTAACTCTAAATATACTGAAAAAAAATTAAAATCCTTAATTATTATTTTAAATAGCAACACCGTATGTGAGCTATCATTTCCACAAAGTTGTTGAACAGAAAGGGAGAGACGCCATATCAAAAAAAATTGCCTTCTAGTGATGTAATTAACATAGGAAGCATGTCCATAAATGATAAAAGACACAGGACACTGTGCCATACTAGTCAGGCCGATCAAGTGTAACTATGATATGATTCCCCGGAAAGTATTTTGACTGATAAACCATATCCCTTGAGTATGCCCTTCCATCAGATATATACTTCTACCACAAAAGCAGCTGCTGCTCCGAGCTCTGCGGCATGTTCAGATAATGGAAAAGAACACAAAGGCGCTGAAACAAGGAAGAAGGCCAAACAAACTTACATCAGGCTCTAGGGTCACGCACCGCTGAAATGCCTTCGCTGAGCCCATGTAATCTTCCAAGGCCAAGTAGGCACAGCCTAGAGAAAACCAGACTCCAAGCTGCAAAGACCAAAAGTCAAAATTAATCAGACACATAAACATATTTAGAGGATACAACCTGAACATATTGAAGATACTATCAAAGAACACACTCCTGTACAGAATTCAGAACTACATTTTAATTGCCTTGTGTTGAGTTTAAATGTAGGAAACCCAGTGAAGACAAAATTTACCATGAATTTCAAAGCTAATAGAACAACAAAAGTGTGTACAATATTAATATTATTCGCAGCTGATCAAGGCACCGCAAACACAAGGGCAGAGTTCTGCTCTCATCCTCCATTCCCTCAGATAACCTCCCTGGCAGGTTTCTGTGTAGACACATCTGCAAAAAAAACTTGGAAGAGACAGGGTAAGAATCAGGCTGAGATTTGGAAAATAGCAAAATTACAAAAGCATTCTGTTCAAAGCAGAGTTTCCTTAAAATTCAATAGAACCTGTCAAAAGGAGCTGTGGCTAGTAAAAATTGAACGGCACTTGTCAGAAATGTATTGTTTTCTCTCAGTCACAAAGTCAGTGGTGGATGGACGCCTACTTTCCTACAGACTGAAAGACACAAAGGCAGGAGAGCAGTGGGAAAGGAAATGACATACTCAGCATCTGTCCCCACCTTCCCTGTGCTGTTCCCTAACCAGTCCCACAAAAACCTGGTCAGTAAGGCTGCTAGAGGCCTCTTTAAACAGATAAAGATTTTTAGCTGTTAGAGAGAAAGCTTCCAAGGCAAACACCCTCAGGCAATTTAACACTTCACTCTGAATGCATAGAGTCTATAAATAACCAGCAAGGCCTTTCTGTAGAACAGACCTAGGTGAAGGGGAGTGCCTCTGGTGGGAGGAGGAGCAAAGACACTTGCTGGAGACCAGCTTGCTGCCCTGAACCATGGGACTTCAAGGTGAGACAGCTTATCACTTGGTTTTCACCTGGTTTTTTATAGGCAGAATGAAAAGAACCATTCAAGGCATCAAAACACATTCCCTCAACATGACACAATCTAAAAGGACCCAAGTCCAACACTGACCTACATGACAACAGTAAAACAAGCCCCGGCCTCCCGAACAAGTTCAAAGCTCTGAAACCTTCATGCTGTGTTTCATCAGTTCTCGGCACAGCCTTGTTCTTAACATTTCTGAAACGAAGACGCATCTAGGTTTTTATTTGTTTGTTTGGCTTTGGTTCTGGTTAGTTACACAGGTCCCATTCTGCAGCCCAAACTGGTATCAAACTCATGAATCCTCCTGCCCCAGCGTCTCAGGTGCCAGGGTCACAGGCACACATTAACACAACCCGATTCCTCATGGATTTTACCAGCAGCTGCTTCATTCTGTACAAAGTGAACTTATAAAGCAAGGGTCCCTTCCCAGACAGCAGGTTAGAGGCAACGAACCCTAAATCACTTGGAATGAGGACTATCTCACTGCACTCTGGGACTAAGTTAGGAACATTGCAAACTGCCTTCAAGGGTCTCAGAACGTCTGGGCCTCGCTGCCAAAAACACCAAATTCTCTTCCCCACATGTTGATATAAAAAAAAAAGTCTGTATAAAATCAAGATACAAATGAAAAACCTTATTTTTCAATCCACCAGAGAAGATTAAGAAATACTGCAAATAATAGCACTTATGATATAGCTCTAACCCACGCTGGTCTGATGAGGGTTATTATTTACTTTTAAGTTTTAAAGACCAGTTAATGCCTTATACTCAGCATCTTAAATTTTTTAATGAAAATTTAGACAGATGACTTCATCTAATATAAAGTATTAATATGGTTCTTGTGTCCTTTACCTTTGGTTATTTTTTGAAGTTGTTTGAATAATTTACATGGAGTGAAAGTCCCACAGTCAGTTAACTGCTAGCTGGCATCTATCACCACCAGGTAACCACGGTACCTGGTAACTAGGCATCCTGTGAAGGTCCCATCTTTAAACTACAGGGTCTCCCCACTGTTTGTGGCTGACCTGCTGCACCATTTTGATTTTTTATTTCTCAACTGAGGGCTTTAGAATTTGAAGAACTGTGGACAATCTTTGGCATTCCTTTTATTTACTTTGAAATTACTACTTAAACTAGCACTATCAATAATGACTGGTGGGGTCCGTGAGAGGGCTCAGCAAGCCATAGCACTTGCCCCACAAGCCTGCAGGCTAGCTAGCCTGACATGTTCAGAGGAACGGTGACAAGAGACTGTACCTCAACAAGATGAAGGGACAGACTTCAAGTTGTCTGCTGACCCGCACACACATGCAGTGTTAGTCACACATGCATGTGCGAGCACACACGCCAATCCAATAACAAAAAACAAGAGACCTCAGAAACTTTCACAGAAGTCCCCAAAGCACAGCTGAATTCTTTAAGCTCCGAGATCACTATTATTTAGCCCAGAGCTGTTGGGTGGGCAGGTGAGTAGTTTCATTACATGTCCTGGTGGCTATACTTTACAAGTTTATTTTAATAATATTTAATCCTATATACACAAAATGAGATTGCTTCAATGTGTTATTAAATATATACAATGCTTGAGATGTGTACCCAGGACTCGCAGTCTTGCCTCCAGCAGATGACCTGCCATCGTCTCCTCCCTTGGGAGTAAACCCAGGCCTGGCTAAGGGACCATTGCTCAGGAAGGCAGGATCACCCCCAGGAAGGTGAGCTCACCTTAAACCATGCTAAGGAAGCTGGCAGAGTAAGGAGCCCTTTGATGAGTCACAAAACTTCCTTCCTGCCTCCTGGCCCGGTCCAGAGCCCCAGGAGGACCTGCAGAGGTGCCCACCTTTCTAAGTAGAAACATGCAGCCTTCTCTTTTTCTCTCTTGACTCTTTAGGGTGCTGGTCAGACCCTAAATATGCTTTTTCTAGAGCTTTGGGCTTCCTTATTCTTTCTCTAAACACTGCCTCCACCCTACCATGTGGCTGCCTGTCACCGTGTGTCTCGTGTGTGTCACCTCCATGCCAGCTTCACTCAAAGGACAATTTTTTTCCTTCTCTCCCCCAGGCAGCTCCTAAGATTTACAGTTTGCCCGCTCTGAAAGTTTTATTTTGAATGCTAATAACACTGTGCTCAATTTTCCATTTGAGTCTATTCTTAAAATATTTTACTAACGGGCTTAAGAACATCAAGAGAGGACCCCGGTGTCCTCAGTACCCCCCAAATTTCTGGTAACCACAGTATGTATTATCTTTGCCTGGCCACATCCAACCCAGCCTCTCATATACTAGAACCACTCCTGCTCCCTCTCTCTAGTCAAAATAATTTTCACTTAATGAGCAGCTATTAAACATGACAGGCATTGACACTATGAGCTTTCCATTATACCTTCATGTCTTCCTCACAAACACTCTGCTAGGGAATGTCACCCAATAAGGAAACGCTGAATGAGTAGGAGCTATGCAACCACATTAGCGTTAGTTCAAAGTCCACATCCTTTCCACTTAGCCATACTGCCTCCTAATACACCATCTTACCCACAAATGACCCACCTGTCACCAGATAACATGTACTGGAACACCTAAGAGACTTATTCATCTGTTTGTTTATTTACCTTCAGAACACATATAGCATTGCTCCTTTCCCAAAGACTGTCTTGACAGGGCTATGCAGACAGGCAGAGAAGCAGCAACGGGTGGATGGGTATGTTCACATAGAGGGGTGAGCTGAAAGGGTCTGGCCAAGAATGGAAAGAAACAACCGCTTGACAGAGAGGCACTGTTGAGATTGCTGTAGAGCTCACACAGCTGGGGAAAGTCAGGAGCCATGGCTACTGCTGACCATGACCTGTGGAAGCCAGAGTTCAGTGTGTAGGTGCCAGTACAGAAACACAAAAGCAGACACTGTTTATTTTGGATGAAATGATGCCTGTATTTAAACAACGATTGTTTAAGTGTTTTAAATATTTTTTTTAAAGAACATGAACATGAACTGCTAGGTTTTTCCGCCTAGAGCCACACAGGGTACAACAGACACAAGAAGATGGCTGATTGAGGGGTTCTGAGCACCTCTGCGGCTTCAGTTGTAATACTAAACCTCTGCATCTCGCCCCTGGGTGTTAAAGGAGGTGGGGGGTTTAACAGGCTAAAATTCCAAAGCTCTAAGACTCCCCAGAAGTGAAAGTGTTCAGAGTGCCACTGGTGCCATCTGGTGGTGGGATAAATACAATGGCCATAAGAAGAGTATTCAGAATCCGCGCATGGGTTTGAAGAGCTACAAGAGGAGTTCATTCAGTTGGAGGCCTTAGACATCAACTCAAAAGAAGTCATGACCTAGAGAGAAGGCAGTTTCAATAATCAAGGTTCACACTTTTCTAAGTGCCTTTGGGACCAACGGGTCTGCATCTGTGTCACGTGTGCTAAAGGTTAACAGACTCTAGCCCTAAAAGCACACCCATTCTCCATTGCCTTCTACTTCTCTAGCTCAGTCCCATGGCACAAATGCAAACCGGCTGTCAATGCAGGCCATCAAACAGGAAGCGTACTGGGCCAAATCCAAGATCACCACTGTTTGATAGCGACTTTTCCCAAGAGACGTCTCATGCTCGTAAGCATGCGCGCCGCCATCTTAGATTCTCCGCACTGAAGGTGCACAAGCTCTCACCTGTCGGCGTCACTGTCTCCCTAAAGAGGCAGTTTCCTCGGTTTTTTTACTGCAGGCTACTGGTTGTTTAAGGCTGTTTCTCTTCTTGCTGTTTGGCTCTGTTACAGCTGTTCTGTTATTTGCATATTCTTTCCAAAATACTTAACAGTATGTTTGAGTCATATACACCTGAGACTCTCCTGGTAGGTTTATCTTCCTGTGGGGCTACAGATAACGGGACAAGAGTAATTCGCTACCATCACTCACACAGTGCAATAGGCAGGAAAGTCCCTTGTTTGCTACAGAGAGTTGACTGTGGACCAGAACTGTGCAAGCCTTACACACATGCTGACTGTGGACCAGAACTGTGCAAGCCTTACACACATGCTGACTGTGTGGAGTGACATATGAAAGCATAGAATAGACTGGCCTGACC